AAAAAATTACTGGGTGAGTTTTCCTAAAATCTGGAGTGACTTGAGTATGGTTTAATTTAAAACATAGGCTAAGAATAAATTCTATGTAAACGGGCTGGTGGTACTCATTATATTCATTTAGGGAGTTGTGGGCCACACCCCACGACGAGGAAATGGCCCCCCAGAGGAGCCTGCGTGGCTGCGGCCAGGCGATGCGATCCCTAGACACAGGGATTTTGAGGAGAAGCACAGAGCATAAGCCAGGAAGGCGGGCACTCAGTGATGAGCTATCTGACAGCATCCCTTATGTAATAGATTCATGTTTCTCGCCCCCCGTTTTTACTTCCTGGATCCATTTAGAAAAAGATATTAGAAAGCCAACTCACAAAAGGTTGAAACACACACACCCCAAAATACCCAGTGTCTCTCCTGCCTGTCATTTATAACCTGGGTGTACAATTACTACAACAAATACCCAAGAACAGCCCCCAGGTCTTGTCTTAGCTAAAGCCTACCCACCTGGTCAGGAATAATGACAGAGGAGCTGCTTAGAAAAAGATATTAGCAGCTGCCTTTGGAAGATGCTGGAAAGCCAACTCACAAGAGGTTGAAACACACACACACACACACACACACAGGCATGCATACATGCACACCCACAAATGTGCATAAAATATCCAGTGTCTCTCCTGCCTTTCGTTTATAACCTGGGCGGCAGGACACCCGGATGGTGGAGGAGACTGTCTGCTCATAGTTTGTTGTAATTTGTTGTAATTACTACAACAAATACCCAAGAACAGCCCCCAGGTCTTGTCTTAGCTAAAGCCTACCCACCTGGTCAGGAATAATGACAGAGGAGCTGGCTCGTGTCTGTCCTCGCAGAAATGACTAATACGTGACAGATAAAACCCCCGGAGAAATCGGAGAAGGGACATCAGATGCTGTGAGTCACAGGAAATTATTATCATTTTCAGTCTTACCGATAACAGAGGCCAAATGCAGCTGAAACCCGGGCCTGCTGGCTCCTGGCGCGGAGCTGGGCAAACTTTTCCAGCCAAGGAGCAGAGAGGAATGTTCCCGCGTCTGTCGGCCTCAGGATCTGCTCGCCTCAGCGGCTGCAGCGTGAACGCAGCTGTGGCTGATGTGTGAACGAGCAGGTGCGGCTGCGTGCTAATAAAACTTTATTTACAGACACAAGTGGTGGGCCGTGTGGGCCAACCCCTGCCCTAGAACAGTGCTGTTTTGAAATCGGCACGAATTGCCAGAATATGGTAAGGATTGAATTAGCCCTGGCCGGTTTGGTTCAATGGATAGGGCATCAGCCTGGGGACTGGAGGGTCCCAGGTTCGATTCTGGTCAGGGCACATGCCCAGGTTGTGGGCTTGATCCCCAGTGTGGGGTGTGCAGGAGGCAGCCGATC